CAAAGGCGTCATTATATTATGCATTTGGATTAACAACAGATTGACCATGTCATGATTACTATGGTCCATCTGTTGTCGAAGAGACATCATGGCTTGATTACTAATACCAGTAGGTACATAACTACCCTGTCGAATCAGGGAACCTTCCTGACTTGTCCCTACATGTTGATATGGGTCTTGCATGACAAAACCAAAACCATTTGGTCCAGGATTGTATCCCTGTGGGGATACGTGCACTTGTGGATTTGGTCCTAAGAAAGGTACCGACATTTCGACATGTACAGGTTGAGTATTTTGCCAGTTCTGTGGCATATCCCAAGGATACTCTCTAACGACATTTGCTAGTTCTTGAGTCACATTAGTTTGTCTAGCCCCATTTTCAAGCCTAGGCACATTTTCGAGTACAACAGGGGAAGATGCTGCCCCCCTTGTCACACTAGTCGCATTATCGGGGTTAGGATTTCCTTGTTCTACATCTACTTGATTATCATTGTTCGTTTCCCTCCTACCATTAGACGTAGACATGGTTCTTCCACTCCTAAGTCTCATACAACATGCATACCTAAAACTAGTCCAATTATGTTCGCAATTTAAACGTGTCCCACCGGGCGTGCCAATTTATTTACGGTGAAATTCGTTTGTGGACTCTTTATATTCGAACTAGCACCAAAACAGTTTCAATTTAGGTATTTAATTTAAGGGTAGAAAACGTAGGAGGAAGATTTAGTAGTTACTGGTTTCCAAATATTCGTCAATGATTACCAAGAAATAATGTTCATGCACGTAAACACTCAAATAAACAGAATGAACAATAGATATAAGAAGAGAAAAGTAATGTGGTCAAGAAGCAACCATACCCAAAAATGGTTCCTTGCACAAAAGCCATATGCGCAGGCGGAGAGTGCTTGAGAGCTCTATTCAAGTATGAGTTTTTCCGACCTTCGTAAATGACTACCTTTCGCAGATTTATAGCACCATTCAAGAGCAGTTAACTTCATGCATGTGTCATTATGGGGAACAACCGCTATGTGGGTTTGAGACATAACTTCTCGTAACCGTTTCTTCCCACGTGTCTTGTTGTTGTTTTTTTTTATCTGCAGTTTAATAACTACCTTGATGCAACTACGAGCAACCTCCAATAATTTCTCTGTTTTTCAAGCTCATCATTATTCAACTCGAACCACTTCCCTTCGATTTCGAGCATGAAAGAATAAGATTTCTACCATATTCATAGTAGGTGTTTGACCATTTACCTACTTTTCGAGCAGTGTCATGCACGTAAATTTCGACTTATGCATTTTTCGAGTAAGCCTAACAAAGGGATTATCTTCATCATCGAAGTTTATTATTAACTTACTGTCTTCTTCGACATAAGGATATATGTAAGGTCTATTCTCAATGGACATGAACAAGTTTTACTCATGCGAATTCATGCCAAGTTAACAACTAACTAGCATAGAGTAGATTTGATAGAAATTTATCTGAGTTACTACGTAGGCCATATGATTATCTTTACGACAAGACTAGCCCTACTCGACATTGAGGATTTACACTTATTGTACCCTAAATAAATGGTAGATAAGCTCGTAGGTGGGTCTTTAAGTCGAGAACATGTCCTTTGCTTATGGATTTTCCTTGAATTGGGCTTTTCAAGAGGCAATTTTGGTAATTAATGTCATAACACACTGACCCTTTCATCCAAAAACTCAAAAACAGATTTAGTTTACTTAAAAATAAGATCATGAGTTTTGGTTTCGTCTAAATCAGAGTTGCAGTTTGAAAACTATGCACATCACAAGTTTGAAGTTTTAAGGGGATCTATGAGACAGTTTTCTACACTAATTGAGCTCCAAGGCTCTAATCATCATGGAACCTCAAAACAGATTTGATATAGGTTAATGGTGATCTATTGGATTTGGTTTGACTCAAAAATGTTGAGCAGTTTGAAAATGGCGCGCTTCTGAATTTTTCAAAATGCTTAATTCTAGCAAACAAGTTTTTCTACCAAAACAAATCTACAAACCTCAAACTTTTGTGAGACCCTAAAACAAATTTAAGGAGTACTAAAACAAAGTTGTGGGTCTTGTGGTCTTACTTAAAAAACTCGAACAGTTTGAAAATGGTGTGTGTTTCAAGTGTCAGGTTAAAAAAATTTTTAGAAACTAGGGTTTTCAAGAATAAATATATAATGCACAGGAAGCAACATAAAAAGTATAGTTGTCAAAACGGGTCAATCTGACCCACCTCAACCAAGAGTGGATTGGCTTTGTCCGGCCCGCCAACTTTAATGCCCAAATTTTTTTAACCCAATCTGGCTCACTACGGGTTAGTGGATTAAACACGTTGGTCCACCATTTTATGTTGTTTAACATTGACTTTATTTTTATCTACAAAAAAATAATATCTTATTAAAATAATACATATATAATAATAAATAGTTAAATGAGTTGTTAATGAATTGAGTTGATGGAGGTATAAGTGAGTTAAGTGGATAATCCGACCCACCACAAATTCAATTTGAGTGTATTGAATTGAATTTTTTGAACCATTATAATTTTTTATTATTATTTTGACTCATTCCAATCCATTTTTAAGGTGGATCCGGTTGACTCATGAATTAGAATCCCCTTCGGCAATTCTAATCAAAAGTCCTTAAAAACATATTTTATATACCTAAAAATAGAATTTTAGGGACTGTTTTCACACCTAAATTCATCCCGAGTCATAATCTAGGCTTATTGAGTCATTAACTCATTTAATTTTGGGCCAAAATGTACCTAGGGATACAAAATGAGTTATGTAACTCCAATGCCTATGAAATTTGGTAGAGAACTAGATTTTGGTAATATAAAACTGTAGAAAAAGGTTTCACTCCAAAAATAGTTTTATGCAGGGAGTTGTGCAGCGCCCAAGTTGGTCCTTTTTTGTTTTCCCATTTCGGGTCAAGTTCATGGAATCTAATTTTGACCCTTATCATTTTGTTTTAGTTCTGAGATTTTATACCCACTAATTCGAGTACACTATAATGCAAAAATACATGGCTTAGCAAAGGAGTAAGTATATTGGTGTTCTACTCCCTATTTAGGCTTATGAAGCATTTGTTAAAATAAGTAGAGATTTTGACCAAGTATTCATCCTACTCTTAGGAATTATCTAAATTAGACATGTACCCGCGCATTGCGCGCGATTTATTGAAATTTCATTTTTTTATATAATATTTTAATATATGTAAACTAAAATTTTGTAATATAACAACTATTTTTTTGGAATATAAAGATATGAAATAAATATATGACAATTGTTATAAATTATTTTTTTATTGATTATATTAAATATATTCATGTGATTTGATAAAGAATGACAGTAAATCGTGAGATATTTTTCTATAAAATTCATAGAGAAATTGAAAATGTTTGGGGTAAAAATGAAGGAATATCTACGGTACCTGGATTGAATTAGATATAATTTAAAGAGTTTTGTAGGTTCATTGATCAGGGCTTAATAGAACGGCTTTTAAAGTTTTTAAAAATTGAGGATACAAATCAAGAAATTGAATGTCAATTATTTGTAGAAACATATCAATTATTAGAACCTTCAATAAATGAAAAAGATATTGTATATGAATTGCTTAAATATTCAACTCAATTATATATATCAGCGGGATTAATTTGGAAAAGTAGTAGAGACATACAAGAACAAACTATTTTTGTTGGAAACATTCCTCTAATGAATTCTCTAAGAACTTTTATAGTAAATGAAATATAGAGAATTATAATCAAGCAAATATTGGAAAGCCTCCATCAAAATGGTTGGTTGTTGTGGACTAACCATTTTAAGTTGTTAGATTTTCTTTTTTGCACTAGTATAATTGCATATAATCATAATTAAGAAATATAATTTGATTAAAATGTTAGTTATAGAAAATAATAAATAATAATTGATTATTATTTATTAAAATTAATAACATAGTAGGTAAGAATACCAATGACACATACCTACCTTTATTAAGGCATGACTTTTATATTATAAATTAGGATTTGTAGTTATATTTAGTTATATAATCAAAATAAGATAGGTAATTTTTTTTTGGTAAATCATAAGATAGGTAATTTAAAATAACATGCAAACAATTTTGTTGACAAAACAATATTTTAGAGATATTTTAAGTTGACGAGTCAACATAATACAAAGTAGCTTGGCTTTAAAATAATAAATAATATTTAATTATTATCTATTAATATTAATAACATAATAGGTGAGAATACTAATAACACATATCTGCCTTTATTAAGGCGTGGTTTTTATATTATAAATTAAGATTTGTAATTATTATGTAGTTATATTATTAAAATAAAAGAGATAATTTAGAATGACACATAAACAAACAATTTTATTGATACGATAATATTTTAAAAATATTTTAAACTGACCTGTCAATATAATATAAAATATTTTGGCTTTTATATTATAAATTGACTTTTATATTATAAATTAGAATTTATAATTATATATAATTATATCATTAAAATAAGAAATATAATTTAAAATGATACCTAAACAATTTTATTAATATGATAATATTTTAAAAATATTTTAAATTAACGTGTCAACGTAATACAAAATAGTTTAAATTTTATATTATAAATAGCTGGCATCTTATCTTAATGGTGCATCTAACTCATTGACACATATCTAGTCCACAACTTCCTATACTTAAATAATTAAATACGTTTCTGTACCTTGTATTTTTGTTCCATCCTTCTATTGTTTTCAGCGCAGTATATTAACTTACTAATATTTTATTTTAGTTGCATTGTTTTCAATCTAATCTAACAGAAGTTGCATTTTGCTTAAAGCACAATCAAATATTCCAATCTGAAAGCAGCGTGTGATTTAAACAAACAAATAATATAACTATTTTTAGTTGTTTCTTAAACAACTATCTCAATCACAAGCTTTGAAAAATAAGAAAAAGGCAAAGTTATTATTTCCAAGCAGTATAAACAAACACTCACTTTTTTTATATATATAATTACAAATGAATACATGTAGTATACAAGTGACTCAGCTTTTCCCCCTCAGAAATAAACAAACATGCAAAAGTTGAGAAAGAGAAAAGAGAGAGGCTAGTTACCTCAATCTTGACTCAAACCAAAAAATGACAAAACTAGTGGCCCTAATTCTGTCAGTCTAACAAACTAGTGCTATTTTACCTGGCACTGGAATCTTTTTGGTATCTCTCCAGCTTTGCAAGCCAGGTCTATGCTCACAAAATACAACTGACAGGGTGGCTTCACCTCACTAGCCTACACAAACATATACTCATCATCCTCCTTTTCCTACAAAAGGTGATGATGGAATTGGATGGACACAACCCACCAAAAATTTGGGCTTACTTGGACAAAAGAAACAACAAATTACAAAACAAGAACCAGAGATAATGGCAGACTTCAGTTTTGTTCTCCACCATTGGATCTCACCGGGATTCTCCCCTCTCCATCAGGGAACTCCCACTGAAACTTTTTGTTAAAATTGATGCATTGGTGTCCTCTATATGTGTAGACCACAGTGCTGCTCATACATGCTTCATTTGCACCTTCTAGATCAACTCCAATATAAAAAATCTACATAGCAAGTGCATAATTAAAGAGTTAAATTTCTATGGTCTAAAAAAATAGAAATCATCATTGATATGACACTTTTAAGATAAGAGTCAATCAAGTTACCATGACAAATTGTGATTGAATGAATTATAATATCATTGCACGTACTATTTACTCAAATAAAGAATATTATAATTGAAAAATATAAAGAGCAAGATCAGCATTATTTTTACCTATCATCTCTTTGGCACAGTCGAGCATGTGGACTTCTTACACCGCAAGATCTCCCATGTTCCTGACCCTGAGTTCCACATTCCTCAGATCACGAAGATGTTGTAAAATTTCTTGGAGAAGATATAAGCCTTTGTCCCCTTTTCTCAAGGAGCTGATACAATGCTTTAGAAACTCTCTATCTGCCTCCAGCACCTGTAGTCTCTCGTAAACATGATCCACCTCCTCTTCTAAAGCAACCCTTTTCTTATCCAAATTAACCTTTTCAACTGAATCATTTTCCAAGTGGGGGAAATCTAACTCGTCCCCACTCAACTCTACATCTTCTGCTTCTGAACTCATTGCATCAAAAAGTGGGAGAAGCCTCTTGGCTTTTGCACCCATGATTTTCCTTCCTTGATGATGCTTTCCATTTATTTCCTTTGCATGACCATTTGCAAATCCATTTACTTGACCTTTGTCATCTTCATCATGATCATGATGGTATCCATTCCCATTCTCTTCACAAAGATGTTCTATTGATTTAGCATCATCTGAGCAGTGTTCTTCCTCATAGTTCAATATAACTAGCTTTTCTTCCAGTACCTTCAGCTGTTCTAGAATTTGTATCCTTTCTTCCTCAAAGTTTGCCAATGATTCCTCCAAATATAAGACCGCATCCACGGGGGTGTTCTGGTTGCTGCATTCTTGGTGACTATAAAACCCGTTTTCTTCCTTTGCTTCATGATTCAAGTCAATGGACAATCCATCACTATCTTCAGCATTGCTACAAGAGGGAGATGAAGTTCTGCTTCTCATGCTACCATCTCTTCTTGACATCATCAGCTTTTCTCTTACCTCATATTCATGAACCTTTTTTCTATATACTTCAAGCTCCTTTTCTAGTTCCTGCTTCTCTTTCTCCCTCTTCATCATGAGCTCATTCAAGAGTTGCAAAGCCTCCTGGTCATACTCAGATTGTTCTTCCATCATTCTCTGATACTGCAAAGCTTCCATCTGCATGGCTGATTTCTCTTCCTGAAGCCTATTTATCATTGCCATTGTCTGATTGGCTGCTATAGCAGATGCACTTCTCTCTTCTTCTAGTTCTGCATATAGAGTACTCAAAGCTTTCCTTTCAGATTTCAATGCTGATTTTAACTTTTCAATGGTTACCTCACCACATTCAATATCACTCATGACACTTCCATCCAATGACTCTTCTGTTCCTGATTCTTTCCTCTCAAGCATAACTAATTTCTTGTGTAGCTGATGAAGACTCTCCACAGAAGTAGGTGTATCAGGAACTTTTTCTTCCTCATTCTCATTAAGGTCCAATAAGGATGGCAAATGGTTATTTACTGTTGGCATTCTCACTTCAAGTGACATGGTTTTAAATTCTACAAACTCTTCACCTTTGTCACGACCTAGTTATAAATTGTAAATAAAAATCAGAATTGAACTTTTTTCAGCTGAAGTTATTAAGGGTGGACTTGAGGAAAAAGGAAGATAAGAAGTTGAGACTTACCACAATCATCTTGCACATTGAATCTGACTGTGTTAGTAGATGAATCTTCTTGTACTTCTTGGTTGGTTTCCAATAGAACATCTTGGCTTTGATACTCATCCACTTGCTCCTGATCAGGAATTTCAGTCCCTATTGAGACTTCTGCTTCAAATTCCTCACCTTGCGTTTGTGATGCATCTTCGGAAGCTGCAGGAATACAGAAAACATTAGAGATCATTGCATATAGAAACTCAAGAAGAATAAAGGTGTAAGAACTGGAAAGTCTTATTGAGAAGGAAAATAATCAGTACCTAGTGAAGCATCTGAACATAGTTCTGCATCTCTTCTTTCCATGTTTGCTTCAACATTATCATCCTTGGTCAAGTCTTCAACAGTTTCAACAAATCTCACATCCTGACAATTTTGCTCCAAATTCTCTTCTTCTACTTGTAACAACACTGAGGACAGTCCTCTGGTCATTGATTGAACTGATTCAACCACATTGGCCTTGAAGACATTTTCATTCTCCTGGCATGAAAATTCTGCCACAATATCCCCAGAAATGTGCCAATTCTCAACAACCGGTTCAGCTTCTGTATCAGCACTCTTATCAAAGTCCAAAATAAAATCTTCACTGATGTTGAGCCCTTCACCTCCCACCTTATATCTGCTTTGATTCCTATTTTCTGTGGCGGGGGAGTCAACCAATTCAACAGGAATCAATCTGCAATCATCACCATGAATGAAAAATTCCAGATGTATGGGTGGAGTTTCCACAGGTATCTCTCTAGTGCAATCAACTTGAGAAGCAGATTTCTCACAAACTTGAACATCATCAACACCATCAGCATCATCATCCCTAGGCTGAGGGAAATTCAAACTTTCTTCTTCTAATGCTTCTTTCCCTATCTCCAAACCCAAATCCAACTTGCTAATTTCATCACACACAGTCTCCACACCACCATCACACACAGAACAATCACAACTCTTCTCTAACTCCTCATTTTTTCTATCCAAACCCTGATCAACCTCAAATACCATGTGGGTTCCCTTGTTTTCTTGACTCTGCTTTTCATCGTCAAGATGATCAAGCACAATATCCGATCTGATGTGATCTTCATCAATTTCTGCACCAACCCCGCGTTCTGTCACCAAATCATGCTTCTGGTCAAACTCCAAAACGTTGAGAGAAGGCTTGATCAGAATGCAAGGAGGGTAGCATCTGTTGTCCAAGTTGACACCACAACAAGAGCACTTCAAAGCCTCTTCCACTTTCACAATGGCCTTGTCATCAGCACCATCATCCTGAATCATACCTATTTGCTTCATCCATGGAAAGAAACCAAAACTCTGAGAGTGTTTAACATAATCTGGTTGGGATGAGGATGAACAATCCTCACACATGTCTTGTGACTCAGCCAGTTTATGATGATTGGAGCAGAAGCCGAGTTTTGAAATCTCAGAGGCATGAACTTCACACACAAGATCTCTGCAAGAACTCTTGCTCTTCCTGGGCTCCAAGACGTGATCGATTCTGGTGCACCATATGCAAGGCCTTTTGAGGCCAAAGTAATCGGCAAACTTCATGATTAGATAAGAGAACAGAGAATTGAGGAGGAGGAGGATGATCAAAATCCATTCGAGGAGGGCATAGACTAGAACAAGGGTGATTTTGTTGGTGTTTCTGTGCAGCATGGTTGCAAACTTGTTGGCAGCCATGGTTGGTGTTCTGTTTTTTGATATGTACAAAGAAAGGTTTACCTGGAATATCAGATTGGAACCTAAGCAAGTATTGGAATGAGAGACAGAAAAAGTTTTAAGGGGAAGAGTGTCAAAAACTGTATGTTGAGTGTGTAATGTATAAGAGAAAGGACAAGATGTCAAAACTGTATTTAGAGTTACGAGTTAGGCAATCCTATTTAAACCTTGAAAAAGAAAAGTGGCCTTAAGAAGCCGAAAACACCTACTAATGTTTAGTTGTTCGGCTGCACCGCCTCACCGACTAATTGCCATAGCACCCTATGTTTTGTAAAATAATGTGATATGCCAATTCAATATTTTGTTCCCATACGTTATCAATTCCATGTCTACTTTCCAAAATAATGTGAATAATGCTTTGGCCCTCCAACAAATTGCTTTTGCTTTAGTCAAGTCCACTGCACTACACTATAAGTTTTTCAGTGTCTCCTTTGGCCCTACTAGTTATAATTCAGCAGATACCTCTCCCTCCCCCACCCCCCACTGCTAATATAATTAACCTAATTGGGCTGCCATTATAAAATTTATTTAGTACATATATGCCAGCTCAAAGCAAATATCATCACACTTTCTGTAATATTTCAATGCAGATCGCATCCAAACACCCACAAACACTAATTTTAGATGCAAATTACGTTTGATGTATAAATTAATTTATTATCGACTATTATTTATATATACTTTCCTATAATATATTTTTGTTAATGGGTTACATTATAAGTATTTGTGTAATTGGAAAGTTAATGAGAAAGGTGTTAGAGTATATGGCAATTAAATGAAGGCTGGATGCGAAGATGGGACCATTTTTGATGTATTGTTGATTAGGCAAAAGCACAAAGAAGTAAACAAAACGAGAACAAAAATAAAAGGGTTTTAAATTCAAATTAGACTATCTTTCTTGGAAGGAACATCAAAGCAAAACTCACTTTTTAAAGTTAAATTACTGGTGGGAGCCCTTAATCGCTCTTCTAAATCCCAATTTCCCCTTTATCTGACCAAAGAGCCATAACCATTTGAAAATGCTAAACAAAAGAAGGGGTCGAAAAATACTTGTTTCTGTTGGAAGCCCTCACAATTGCTCCTACTTAATCTTAATTTCCCCCTTATTGTGATCAAAAGATTATCAACCATCTAAAATGTTTTTTTTTTTTTTTAAAAAAAAAGTGGAGCTAGAAAAACAACATTGTTCAAGAGGCTAATTTGAGTTCCATACTTCGAACACATGACATGATCCCGAAATTTGATTAAAAAACTTTAAAAGAAAACCACGTGAATAAGAATATTGGTCCACTCATTGTTGAAATAGTCTAATTAATGGGGCAAATAGCTCCTAGTAAAAAAGTTGTATTGAAATTTTCAAGTTTGGCGACTTAAGCTAAAAATGAACCCATGGATTGCAATTGTTATCTAATTGCTCAATTAGAATGGGACCCATTGGCCTCATCTAAACGGCTTGCGTGGGTACAAAGACATCACCCAACAAAATTTAAATTAATAAAACATAATAATGCTGAAGTTTTTTGCTTAATCTTACATATTAATCATAAAAATGGACCCTATTTTCCATTTTCAATGATAACCATTAAAACCTTGTTTAAGTTATATCATGAAAATGAAAATAACGTCCTTTCAGTAGACTCCACCTTTGGATTTTTTAATTCTTGGAGGGCTACCAGAAATCTAGCTAATTGCAATTTGCTTTTACCTTTTAAAAAAACTGTATATTGAAAGTGCTGAATATATAGTAGAAGATGATAGGTGACACAATAAAGGATTAAATGTCCAACACATTACTATTACATTCAAATCTTAGCTATTAGTGGAATAGATGGAATTGAGCTTCATTGCTTCAAGCTAATTACTGCTTTAAGTTAATTGACTGATACAAATATCAAATTCTAACTTATAAAATATAATGCTCTGTTGTCCTTAATTTGGAGTCGTAATAGTAAGAGTGACTTGGAAAGGTTAAATGGCCTACAAAGATTGGAATGCTACATATCTCATTCATTCTATTTAACTAGTTTTATGATAAAGTACCAGATCCTATAATAGATAAGATAGGAATGGATGATGGTTATATAGAATGTCTAAATCTTTGGTTCGTGGACAAGAATAGGAAAAAATATTAGTTTTTATTTTTTTTATTTTTATTTTTATAAATGTCACACTTTAGAACTTCATTGTAAATAAATATTCTCACATTTTTATTCTTATTTAACCGGGATTGAGGTTTAGTTTTTCATAATATAATTCTTACAGATTATTAATTTTGAGATTTATGTATATATATAAAAAAATTCACTAAAAACACTCTACTTTTATGTGTAAAATCTCTTATTTACCAACTAAGTGAGGAATAAAAAAATATTTTGAAAAATTAAAATAAAAACAGATTCAGTGATAAAAATAATGTTCATGCCATGCCACCTTAATCTTTCAAATCATAACGAAATATCCACATATTTAATGTATTATGGACTATGAACAAAGAACCCATAATAATTTTTGGTTTGGTTAGGGAAAGATGGCCTGCAGTTATCTGTGTTTATCCACAGTTTCAGTATATATCCCAACCAATAAAGTGAATAAACACAGAAAGCTTGTGGATATTTCTTTTATTTTTTTTATTTTGATTTTAGGCACCGAATATCATGGATTTGGATGACACAGACATCATGTCTATATAACATCGCAAAGGAGTGAAAGGACATCTGTTATTGATAGAGACTTCTTTCAATGTTTTGTATTTTATGAATTAATATCATTTTAACCCTTTTTAGAACTTATTCACTTGTCTGCAGAATTAAGTGAAATTAGAGTCCAACAAATTAATCAGACATCATTTCATTCCTTAATCATTTTAAAACAAAATTAACTCCTCAAAGCAACGATCACGCCAAGCATTTAAAAGTCAGATCACTAAAATGGGACAAAAATTGCCAAACCTAAAAGATATGATAATTGAGGTGTTTGGTGGTAGAAATGAAAATGCAATAAAAAAAAATCTTAAAGCATTATGTCAGATTCAAAATAAACTGAATTTCAAATATGATCAAGTGATAAATAGAATATTTTATTAAATTTATCACATATTATTTACTAAATCAAATTAATTAATGCGGGGGACTCTAAAATATTTAAGTGTATAAGCATTTAAATGATTACTTAAAAGAAAAAAAAAGTCCAAAAAACAAGTATATGGAAACTTTAACTTCAAACCTAGAGAATCAAATAATGACAAAGATAGTTAAGGCATAGACTTCATTTTATTGTTCATGTGATTAGCTCCGGAATAATTCATGCAACGTGTTTTAATATTTAAGATAAATTTCACAGCCGATATAATTTATACCTAATTCCTTCGTATACAAATTCTTTTGAATTCATACACAAATATTCATTCCTTGATTTAAAATATATGAGAACAAGATATTAAAATTCAAGGAAAATAAAGAAATCAAATAATCAAAGATCTCTCTATTTCTACAAAATCAAATGATGAAGCTTATAAATCTGAGTAAATTAATTTTCAAATTACGGTTCTTATTTTCATCATTTTAATTTCATTCATACCTAATTTTTATAAAAATACTCTCAACATCAATCAAATGTTTTTTTTTCTTCCGAAATGTCCAAAAATGTCATTTTTGTTATTGTATTTTCGGGAATGTTATTTTCAGAAATAAGAATTCAAGTTCAAGCGCTTCCTAAAAGATGAATTTACATGCATTTCAAAAGAAAAAGAACTGCTTATCAATACAAATGCATTTTTTTTGCTTCAAAAAAAAAAATACAAATGCATTTTTTTTAGGCTTAATCAAATATTATTAATACAAATACATTCAAGAACTATGCACAAAAGCACGTGCTTACATTTTATTGAACTGGTGTAAAAAAAAAGTATTTCATGTGTTTTAAAATAATAAAAAAAATAAAATTAACGAAAATTAAATAATAGTTAGTGATTGATAATTGGAAAATTTGAACAGTTTTTAAGTAATTATAAATAAAAGATAAAATTAAATATAATATAAAATTAATAAAGATAAAATAGTTCTAAAATTGTGTTTATTATTAGTATAGATAAAAGTAAAAACTAAATAAATAATTGTAAAATAAAAAAAGCGGAAATCATACGTTGTATTATCACATACAATTTTCCATTAGATTCACTCAACATTTATTTCTATGATAAAGTATTTCCAAAATAAAACTTAAACTTGAGCTAAGAGCTAATTACATCACAATTCCATATAGCGTCCATGTCCATGAAATTATAACCTAAAAAAATTCAGCAACTCATTACAAAGATAGTAAATACAAAAACAAAAAAAGAAACAAAAAAATCCTTGAACCATTTGTTTTTTTCGAAGAAAATGAGTCTAAAATTATCCTTAAATTTTGCTCTCAAGATTCAAAGTATGGGTATTAATTTTAATCACTAGATTAATTTTAGTGATCATCATCCTTTTCAATCACTAGATTAATTTTAATGATCATCGGTTATTACTTTGTACTACAATATGATAATTTTAAAATGAAAATAAAAATCAACTCCTATAAATAAGCTTTATTAAATATTTCTACTCATATATGATATTTCAGTAAATTCATTAGCTACTTGCACTCAACCGTAACATTTGTTATAATTATAATAGAACATTCTTGATTAAAAAGCTTCTTATGTATCGCCTACAAGTAATAATTTAAATAGTCAAGATTTAATATAGAGGTAAGAATTTGAACTCGTGATTAAAAAAAAAACTTTATTAAATGTTCTTCTCATATCTATTATTAAATTCAACAGCTACTTGAATTCAACATTATCATTTGTTATAATTATAATAAAACATTCTTGAATAAAAAGCTTCTTATGTATCACTAACAAGTAATTTAAATAATCATTTTTTTAATTATATAGCGCGAGAGAAGACAAAATGACTTCAAATATTAAACATAGTAAAATGGTACATTTAATAGCTTTTTTATTTTTACTAAATTATAATTTTATTTTCTTTATTTTTCTTTCTATTTTAAAATAGAGATATTTAGTTAATCTATTTTTAAAAATATAAAATTATAGTTTCATCGTTAATTTAATATTTATTGATCGTTAAATTTTAATTTTTTTTTTCATTTATCTTACATCACTTAATAAAATAAAAATTTAAAATTAACATAAAAATATCTTTTTCTATATCTATTTTAACGAGTGATTGATA